TCAATTTTCAGCTCCTTCTTCGCATTTGGGAAGTTCTCTTCAATTATCTCCTGGAATATTTTCTCTGTTCCTACATCTCTCTCCTCTCCTTCTGGAATTCCTATAACTCTTATATTTCCTTTCCTCATGGAGTCAGATAGTTCTCGAAGTCTTTCTTCATTCTTTTCCTTCGTACTTCTCTTTCCTTTTCTGTTTTGGTTCTTTTTATTTCTGTGTCTTTAAGAGACTTATTCGTTCTTCCATTTCATCTATTCTGCTTTCCTTGCTTTTCCCGAGTTCTTTAGTTCCTCCATTAATTCTTTGATCTCCTGCATTTCTTTTACTTCCCTCTTTAGGGACTCATTTCATTCTTCTGACCATTGTTTCCCTCTTTAGGGACTCAATTTCCTTCTTCTGATCTATCACTTTTTTAATCATGGCAATTTTAAATTCTCTTTCTGGAAGGCTCAGAAGTTCTTCCAAGTTGCTGTCGTTGCAATCTGGGGAGTGGTTTTCTTTTTGTGGTGTGCTTCTTTCCTGAGGAGTTGTTAGGTTGCGTGTGGTTCTTCTACTCCCTACTGTCTGTTTTCTAATTTGTCGTATGCGTTGGGACACTGTGATGCTCGGACTGACTGGCATCTTGGGTGAACTTCTCCGCTCCCCTCTGGCTCTTCCAGGAGCCATCTCTGCCTTCTGGGGGAGCTTTCTGCTGGTTTTAGGCAGTTTTTACTGAAGAAATGTCCCTGTTCTCAAATGGCGAAGCGGGATGCAGTCCCTGCGCCTCCGGTTTCAGGCACACTCTTCTGCTCCCCCGGTCTGCCCCGGACGTGGGTGCCTGCTCCCTCTGTGGGCTCAGACTGCTGGTCGGAAGGGGCCTGGCGTGGAATAACTTCCCGGCTGGCCACTGCAGAAGCCTTCTGCCCTTTTCAAGCAGTCTTAAGAAATCCTGTTCTATGGGTGTTAGTGACTTTTTTTTTTGGTCACTAGGTGGCGCCAGAGATCTCTCCTATTGTCCTTGGGGGGCTGTTTTTCGCCCCCCCCACCCCGTGGGACAGGGAACAGAGCGGGAATGGTAGGGTACACCTCAACAGCTTTGGGGTGCTGTGTCTGCCTTGTGCCCCACCGTCGTGGAGAACCCACGCCCCGAATTTTCGTGCCCCGGGTCTCAGTTCAAAGCCCTCAGTTCCAGGACGCGGGCTGTAGCCCAGTTCAGTGGCGCGGGAATGGCGCCTTTTGCACCGCTCCCGTGCCTGGGCGCCTGGTTCCTGCTCACTCAGGGAGGGACCTTCACCTCAGTGAGGACCTCCGCGCGTCTCCCCGCAAGCCTAGGTCGTCTCCCCGCAAGCCTAGGTCGCAGGCGCGGGGACCTGGGCAGCCGTGATCCCGGTCTGCACTTGCTTTTCAAGTTCCCGAGCGCGCCGCGTTTCCGCGCCAGCTTACCGGCAGCCCGGCTGTGTGCGCGTCTCCCGGGGTCTTTGTTCTTCTCTAATGGCGCCCGGAGCCGTTCGCTCGCCGCGGCGAATCCTGCAGGGTTCGCCTCAGCTCCCGTTCACGGGGTGTGGTGGCTGCAATAGTTCCTTTCCACTCCCAGTCCCGCTTGCTGCGTCGTTTGTTCTTGTTGGCCGTTTTGGTTTGTTGTTTCCTCCTCTCTGCCGGTCGGAGAGTGCCGCCTCTGTGGGCGGGGGAGGGGAGCAGGGTTCTGTGCTCCCTCCCTTCTGGTCCTCTTTTATGGCCACTTTTTCTTCGGGCAGTTTGCTGGAGTCACCCGTTTATCTTCCGTGTCCCAGTTCTCACTGGGACCTGCCGCTTTTCCTCCCTATTAACTTTTTTAATGGGAGATCTTACTCGCAGTGTCTCCTCGCCGCCATGTTGCTCCGCCCCCTCGGTTACCCTTTTTATTCTATTCGGGTCTTCAATTGATTGAATGTGGCCCACTACATTAAAGGGGGCAATCTGCTTTACTCAGTCTACTGAACTGAATGTTAATTTCATTCAAAAATGCCCTTACAGAAACACCCAAGATACTGTTTAACACAATTTCTGGGCATCCCGTGTTCCAGTCAAATTAACACATAAAATCACACTAAATTTTAAAATTTGGGGAATGGGTACTTTCAGGTAGCCTGTCTCTCATCTCTGCACTCTCTTCCTAAATACCTCGATCAATTTCTATGGATGTCTTCTACCTACCTTACACATTCACACTAGCACCATCCCAGAGAAACAGTGAGTCATGAATGTAAGCCATACATGTAGCTTTAAATTTTTAGGTAGTTACATTTTTTAAAGTAAAAATAGTGAACCTTGTTTTAATTGTACATTTTATTTTTTTAAAGATTTATTTATTTATGCATACAAGAGCTAGGGTACAAGCCAGAGATACAGGGGGTGAGAGGATTCACCAGAGACAGAATGGGGAACAGAACAGGCAGATACACTGAATGAAGTACACTGCTGAGAGAAGCAATGGGCGAGTCAGGAGAGGTCTGCCTTGCCATGTGGGCTGCTCCCTGGCTGACTGGGGATTCAACTCATGCTGCAGAGGCTGTGGATTGCTTCATAGTGTGGTGTTTAACCCCTTGCACCACCAGGGAGGCCCTAATTGTATGTTTTATCTAACCTGATATATCCAAGAATTGTTTCAAACTGAATCAATATAAAAATATTAATGAATGCACCAGTTATCAATTTATTATCTCTCAGCTCTAAACTTATCATGCATGACCTGCTTATGATAATGGAACTTTATGAATTTCTTCTTTGCAGCAAGCATGTTAACTTTTTTTCAATAGAGAGACATTGCAGGATGGGGGACTGGTTTTCTGGTTCTGCTGTAATGCATTTTTTGTTTTCTTCTTGGTATTATTAGCAGGAGTGTGTGGGTGGACATGCAAGGACACGCTGACCCCGCCTCACACCAAGAATGTGCAATGCCTCTGCAAGCTTACTGCCCCTGCCTCAGTTGAGTGACCATCTTGCTGCGCCTCCTGAAGGAGATACCACTCACCTCAATGTTCATGGCACCCTGCTGGTAAATGATGCCCTAAAACCATCTGTACATCTATCACCAACAGCTTCATGAAGCTTGCACCATGGATGGTGTTTCCCATGGCCCTCCTGACCAAAATGGGTCATGCATCACTGTCCTCCTGCCAGAGAATTGGTTCCCGATACTTTGAGTCGTCTGCACACCTACATGCCAGATTTAGTTCATCAGCACCCTGGAGGGATCTTTCCTGCTTGCCTGGCAACTGTGGGTCAGCGTCCTCCTGGGCTACCTAGTGAACTTTTCTGCCATTTAGTGGGGCTGTATCCACACCTCTGGTTATCAAATCCTAGCCTTAGAGTGGAGGCCAAGTTCAATGTTTGCCTTCCTTAGAAACTCCTTTAGCCTCAGGATAGTCTTTGAGTTCTCTTTTTATATCTTTATAGTTGCTCCCCATTGTTATTAATAATTCTTTTATAACGAATTTCCCTTTTCAAATTGGGTGAGCGCTGTCTCCTGGTTGGACCTTAACTAATGCAATCATTAACAAGCTTTTTTTTTTCTCACTAAGTCTTCTAAATGTGGGGCGTATTTTAGTATTTTACTCTTACATAATATCTCAATTCAGCCTACCCCTACCACAAGTGATTGACAGGCATATGTGTGTCTTGCAGCTACTATACTGGGCAGCACAGCTATCAATCCACTGCTTCAACTGAAGGTGACTGAAATGGAGTTATGTATTTCCTTCCCAATCCATCTTCCTCACTAAAATTTTCTCACATATCAATATCACAATAAATATCTCATTAAATGGCACCATCTTCCATCCTGCTACAAAACTTAAAATCATGCTGATTCTAGCTTCTTCCCTCATCTGTAAATTTTGTCTATTTTGACTAGAGAAAGTCAGTATCACAAAAAAGAAAACTAATGAAAAATAAAACAAAATTCAAAAGATGTATTATTTTTCTAAGGTCTTTAGGTTGTTTCTTCCTGATCAAAATTTCCGGTTCTGATAAAGTAGCAACACTATATACTAATTACGAGTGGTGAAGCAGACATGCTCATACACCATTTGCCTAACATATGAACTTTCTGGAAACAATTTTGTAATTTAAATCAGTATTTTAAGTGTTCACAATCTTAGATCTTATGCCTAGGATGTTCCCTAAGAATTATTGGGAGATTTTCTCAAAGATTTACTACAAAAATGTTCATAAGAGTCTATAACAAAAAAATCTAGAAACATGTTAATGATAAGACGAGCGCTATAGTAACTTGCATATCGAGAGGATGCAATTTTAGAAAGACATTAAATGTCATATAATAAAATTGATAACAATTACATATATTTAGAGTATAAATTACAGCAATGTATCTAGAGAGAAATTTCAATTTCTAATAAACAATATAATGCATATGCTTAGGGAAAAGGTTTCATTTTCTTCTTTCTTTTTTTTAAAGATTTATTTATTTATGCATACAAGAGCTGGGGTATAGGCCAGAGGTGTGAGGGGTGAGAGGACTCACCAGACAGAGTGGGGAACAGAACAGGCAGATTAACCGAAGTACACTGCTGAGGGGAGCAGCGGGCGAGACAGAAGAGGTCTGCCACGCCATGTGGGTTGCTCCCTGGTTGGCCGGGAATCAAACTCATACTGCAGTGGCTGTGGATTGCTTCATAGGTTGCATGTCAACCCCTGCGCCACCAGGGAGGCCCCAGGAAAAAGGGCTTCAAATAAATGTACTTATAAAAAGCTGATTGGAAGATTTTATTCATTTGTTCAAAAAATATTTTTGTGTCAGAGAGTGTTTATGCACAGGGGATATAGCACCTGCACTAGCCAACTTCCAAGGTAGTTTTCAAAGTTCTTTACCTCCTGATATTCAACTCCATGTGTACTTACCTTCCTTACCGAATGGGATTGGCATGTGTGATTAACAAAGTACAGTGGAAGCATTGGTGTGTGATTTCTGAGTGCCGGTCATAAAGTACATTGCCGTTTCTCCCTTGCTCTCTTGGATCCCTCAGTCTTGGAGAAGCCACCTCGCACACCATGTGGAGAGATCCTCCTGGAGGGGACTTGGAGCATCCTGGCAATAGCCAGCACTGGTTTGCAGTTCCATGAGTGAGCTGCTTGCCGGCAGATTCCCCAGCCCCAGTCAAACGTTCAAATGACTGCTGTCCTGGCCAACATCTAACCGAAACCTCCTGAAAGGCCCCCAGCCAGCAATCATGCCAGGCCCCTTATAATTCCACACCCCTGAAATTATCATGAGATAATAAATGATGGCTGTTGTTTTGAGCCACTAAATGATAATGTCTTCACACAGCATTAAAAAACTAACATAGCAGCAAACAAGATCATATTTTTAAAAAAGCTCTGCTTTTATGAAGCTTATGTCCTAGCAGGAAGGGACAGTTATTAGACAAAATAAACTATGTGATGTGCGATATGGTGATCAGAGAAGGTGGGTAAGGATATAGGAGGACTGACAATTAAACAAAGGCCTCATTGAAAAGATGTCATTGTAGAGAAAACCTGAAAAGATGTGAGGGCTACTTAGGGGGAGAATGCTCCAGCCAGCAGGATGGAGAAGCAGGAGCACAACTGGCCTGACAAAAACACAGAAAGAAAACAGCAGAGGGCTAAGGGGAGGGGTCACATAGGGCTTTGCAGGCCTTTGTAAGTTACTTTGGCTTTCATTTTGAGTGATGTGGGGGCACTGGAGAGTTCTGAGTTTAAAAGTGGCATGATCTGATCAACATTTTAGCTATATCCTTGTGGCTGCTGGTTTGGATGGAGATTGAAGTCAGGGAACCACTTAGGAAGCTATTACAATAATTCAATGAGAGAAAGAATGGTGAGTTAGAGCTAATAATTGTTGGTTGTATGTTTTCTTCTTTATACCTTGGCTAATTTTCCAAATTTCTACAATGACTCTTTATGAATTTTCTAATCCAAAAAGAAACAAAAAGTTTAAAAGGAGTCAGATGTTTCTCATTTTCAGTATTTTATTGTATTTATCATGATATAGATGCCCATGATATTCTTAGCAGGATTTCAGCACAACAGAGTTGCTATAAAACAATACAAAGAGAACAGAATCAAAAACTGTCTACTTTACTTAAGTCTGTGTAAACTAAACATAACAATTTCAACTGACAAGCTAAATCATTATTGAGATTTCACAGCTTGAGTGTTTACATTATCAACTAAACTTGATAATTACAAAGTAAGCATCCTTCCATTTTTTTTTTTGCATTAAGCACTACAAAATTTGCAGTGTCAAATTGAAATTTAATAGCACTTTTCTGCCTTTGCCAATTTTCTGTTTTAAACATGCACCTGCTAAATATTTCATGGTTTTCATTTTTAAACATTGTTTGCATTGTAACTAAACATCATTTAAAAAATGTGAAAGAACTTCAAATACCCTTTGAATGTTTTTATTGTCTCATGATATGTATTTGACCATTGTTAACTTTCAAATATTTCATACTGCAAAACCTCCTTTGTGACTATAATTAGTTCAGGTTCAGGAATTCTGGGCATTTGGCCAGGAGATTACTCTGGATAAGATCTGTTTAATTAAATTAAAAATATTTTTGTTGAATGTCTATCATTTCCAAGGAACAGTGCTATAAGAAGATAGCAAAAAGTGTTCTAGGTATTTTTAAGTCATGCTAAAGACAAAGTAGCTTTATAATAATTTTCAGAGTACTGGTTCCAATCCCTTGCCTATTTTCAAAACTTCAGGGAATTTTATTTCATTTAGCACACATGTATGCCATTAACTTCCATGCACTGGAAATATAGAATCTTAGATGAGGACACAAAGGTGATTGAGAAACAGGCCTGACCCCTGAAGAATGTATGGATTGACTGAGAAGCAAACATGCACACAAGTAATATGGTATTTGTACGACAGAAAATACAGAGTGAAAAGCCAAAGCCTATAACCCACCTCCTATGGAAGTGAGTCATAGTCCTTCATTACAAAGGGTTAATCATCTCTTCTTATACACTGGTTTTTACCCTCCAGGTATTTCCAAGAATTTGACCTAGATGGAAAGGTGGAAGATCCTGTCTGTTTTGTTCTACTTTAGTACTTAGAATATGTTACAGGTGTTTATTCTGAGTCTAAAAAATAAATGCTATGCCACTGATAGTTTAATGAAAAGGAAAGACACCCATTTCCATAATTAATTATGAAAATTTTTATGATCCAATTTGGCTCTAATTTGTCTGGTGTTGGGGTGAGGGAATTGTTTGCTGCCCTGGAGAATAAATTTCCAAAGTCTACTATCTGCTTGTTTCCCTGCCACCTTTCCCTCCCATTCCATCTTTCCTCAGTGCCCTTCCTTCCTACTGCTCTTCCCTCCTTCCTTCCCTCCCTTCCTTCTAAGTGAGACGTTAGATCTTAATAGGGGGGAGAGAAGTGACAACAACCTAAGGAAGGTCAGAGCCTGAAAGATATAAGGAAAACATCTGCACAGGTGCCTGTAGCCTGAGTGGATGATGTGCACCCAATGGTGGTGAGGGGGGCAACTGCATGAGGTAGGGTTAGGGAGGTGGAAACAGTGAAGGTAGGTTGGTTATAAACAGGAAGGTAAATCAAATGAATATATATATATATATATATATATTTAAAACAATGGGAAACAGCTTTCTCACTGATGGAGAAGCAAATTATAAATCAGGAAAGACAAAATGAAAATAAATCCTATGGTACTTAGTTGGGGTGGAGATATTGACATGGACTCACCGTTTGTATTTATAGGAATAAATTCAATTGGTCAGATGTATGAATCGATACTGATAGGTAGATATTGTATACATACATGTACAGACATGTATTTCTTGCCTAGTTCTGCCCACTTTAGAAGGCCTATGAACATCAGTATCCTATATCTTGGTTTCTAAATTCATTCTCTATTAAAAAGAACCAAGGTTCCATGGAGAAATGACTGATTCTAGGACCAAGGAAGCATAGAAATCTTGAGAAGTGGTTGGATAGAAAGGAGTAGTGTTAAGATATATTCAGGTACAAGTGATTTAAACAACAAACAAATAAAAAACCAAGACAGAGTAAGCCAAAAAAAAAAAAAAAAAAAAGCAACATTTTAGTGCAGGTAACAAGAAGTTCAAGAATGGATCTTTCTTCCATCTATGGCTAAATCCAAGGACTCAAATGATATCATCAGGGTCTTGTGTTCCATTATTCAGTGTTCTCTCTCTCTCTCTCTCTCTCTCTCTCTCTCTCTCTCTCTGTGTGTGTGTGTGTGTGTGACTCTCACAGTAGTCAGGGTTCTTGCAATTTCCTGGAGGAGATGGCTACTAGTAGCATCAATTTCATATCCCAGTACAAATGCAAGAGACAGCATTCTCTAATTTGAAAATCTTTATAGGAAAACTATTATCAGCTGTTATCAGCTCAACTAGGACTACGCAATAAGCTCCCCACAAAGAGGGTTCCCCATAATAGGATGCTGAGCCCATAATGAAGAAGGTCTATATTCTCTGAATGAGAAAAGGATTAAAGAAATGAACTTTTCCATGGTCACATTTTTTGTTGGTGGCAAAGGTAAAATAGAAATCCATTCCTCCTTTCTCATACCTCATTTAATGAACAGCGGCTCCTCATGCCTTTATAATCACGCTATTTCCTCGGTGTATGTTTACCATTTCAAAAAAAACAAAACAAAACACTAGGCCCAGAACTTGGGCCTCCCCAGTGGTGCAGGGGGTTGAACGCAGCACTGTGAAACTGTCCACAGCCTCTGCAGCGTGGGTTCGTTCAATCCCCCGCCAGCCAGGGAGAAACCCACAGGACGCAGCAGACCTCTCCTGTCCTCCCGCTGCTCCACTCAGTATTTTCGGTCCATCTGCCTGTTCTGCTGCCGGCTCTGTTTCTGGGGAATCCTCTCACCTTCCCACACCTCTGCCCTGTACCCCAGTTCTTGTGTACATAAATAAATAAATCTTTTAAAGAAAAAAAACTAGACCCAGGAACTTTTTCATAAGTACTCTGATATCATTCCATCAATTTCTTTGTCATTGACATATACATCAATAGTTTCAATTCTAGGAACCATAATTACACTTACCTGATTTGCTTCAGTATTCAGGGATAATTCTGACAAAAGAACGTAATGATTTTCTGATTTTCTGTAACTTTGGTTTGGTTTTGGTTTTCCCCTCACAACATTATGTGTATTTACACCAGTATTTTAAGGTGTTTTTAGAAAGTTATTCTTTCGAATGAATATAAAGTTTGAATATTCATTCATTGACGGGTAATTGTTTCTCTTAAAAATTTTCCTAATTTTTTGTGATGAATAAAAACTTAATAAAATGACTTACTGTTAAATTGGTTCATTTTTCTACAATCCAGCAAGTGGCTGATTTATCAGAAAGACAACTGGAGAACAGGCCAATCTACATGGATTCTAGTTTGACTTTTTTTGTTGCTATGTGCAATAGACTTATATTCTGAACCTTAGTGGTATCCTCACTTGCAAAAGAGGTAGTGGTATTATGACTTTATGTACATATTTAAAACAGACTGCAAGTTAAATTTTTGTAAGTTAACAAAATGATATATAAATATCAGTAATTCTACAATTGTTTAAAACATGACTTTTCCTATGAAATCAACAAAATAGAGAAATGTGAATATTTACTTTAATGGACAGGTCTTGAAAAACGAACCCAGAAGTTCCTGAGAAACATACACACAAGCTACATAACGAAAAGACAAAAATATTTCTTCTAAGTTTTTCTGAGTGCCCTGATAATTGTTTCATTTTTATGTTTTCCTGTGCTTTTGCCATACTGTCAGAAATTCTCTTTTTTGAAACAAGGAAACCACAATGAGAAAAACATTCCAACTCTCAGAGATCATAGGTTTAGATCTGCTCAGCCACAAAGATTCTTCCACTGCGGCAGGAGCCGGGACACCACCCAAAGGTGAGCAGCGCCACCTCCTGGAGGGCGCGTGGGTAGCGCTAGTCAGGCGCCTGCGGCTGAGGGACAACCGCTTGGTCGACGGTCTTCAGGGCCCAAATGATTTAGAAACATTTCTCGTAGTTTCCATACACAAAACCCACCTCGGGAAGCCGAGACTTGCCTTTGTCTTTATCGCCTCGAGTTGGGTGGACTCGCGTCCCAGTCTCTCCTAGAGCAAGAGATGCTCAGGGCTCGGGCTTCCCACGGTGGGGGGAACTGGGCTCCATGGCGGGGCTTCGCTGGGCGCAGACCCTGCTCTGGGGCTTGGCGGCGGGACCTGCAGCCCAACCAAATGTTAGGTGAGTGGGAACAAGCTCCTGGGTGGAACTACTTTAGGCAGCTGGGGATTCCCTTTCCGTAAGGGCGGTACTCGGTGGAAGGGACTCCCCTGGGTAGGTGGGACTTCCCTGGGTGGGTGGGGTTACGGCGTGTGGGTGGGGCTTAGCCGACGGGCCTTACTGGAGGGGACTCCCTTGGGTGGGTGGGGTTACGGCGTGTGGGCGGGGCTTAGCCTACGGGCCTTACTGGAGGGGACTCCCCTTGGTGGGTGGGGTTACGGCGTGTGGGCGGGGCTTAACTGCCGGGCCGTACCGGAGGGAAGGGACTCCCCTTGGTGGGTGGGGTTACGGCGTGTGGGCGGGGCTTAACTGCCGGGCCGTACCGGAGGGAAGGGACTCCCCTTGGTGGGTGGGGCTAAGATACGTGGGCGGGGCTTAGTTAACTACGGGCTGAACTTGCGAAGCCTTCTTTGTGGGCGGGGCTTAACTCGGTGGGCGGAACTACGACCTGAGAAGACTCTTAACTGGATCTGTCCCTCCCGGAACTTCCTGTATCCTGGGCGTGCAGATGGCGTCACCTGCAACTTGAGCGGCCGCACGAGGGTACCCAAGGTCTGGTGAGTGGTTAATACGAAAATTTTCTGGCAGCCGGGAGTGAAGTTTCCGAGGGTGGGCACTGCGGCCGGGAGCCTCGGTTCAGTCGAGCGTGGCCTCAGGCGGCCCAACCAGGCAGCTGGTCTGCTGGCCCAGGCCGGGAGCCCCTGTTGGGCCTTTAAGCCCCTGGCGGGGTAGCTGTTAATGGCTGTGTGCTGTCTTGTCATCACGGTTTTCACCTGGTTTTCAGAGATTTTCCTTGTCCCCAGCCAAGGTATTACTTTTTCCACCAGCTTTCAAGCCCTCATCTCTAATGGATCTTTTTGTCCCCACTTGCATGCTGCCTGCAACACCTGTCTTGTGTGTGTTTCACATGTATGTATGTGAATCGCTTGTGCACCACAGCTGGCGGTAGTAATTGATTCTTGAATACTAGATGCATGATTCCGTTTGGTTACTATTAAAAGGATTTTAAATTAGCTTGGAGGGGATAAATGTCTTTTTTTTTTTTCTTTTTTAAGTAGAAGTACTGTTGGAGTTCAAAAGTGTGACTGTCCCTGGAAGGTAGTTTAGCAAGACTAGCTATCAAAGGAATATATAATTTCAGTGGAAGAGATAACAGTGTGAGCAAAGGGGAGTAAAGAATGTGCAAGTTGTCTCCAGAAAACAATTGGTAGACGAGTATAGGCATGTACGGAGGTAGCAGAAGATAGATTTGACAGATTTATGCTAGATTCAGGCTTCCAGCAATGTCAGGATAAAATATTGCCCCTAATGCGTTGGAAGAATCACTGAAGATTTTTAACATTGGAAAGTTACATCATAGTGTTAAGCCAGGCAAATTTGAATGCTGACGACTTAAGGGATTTGCAATCTTTCTATAAAGGGCCAGATTGTAAATACTTTAGGTTTTGCAGCCCAGTCATATCAGGATAGTTGCCATAGAGAATGCATAATCACATGGGAATTGCTGTTTCTAAGAAAACTATCTACAAAGATGGGCGCCTGACCTGATTTTATTCATGGGCAGTTTTCTAACTAATGGTCTAACCAAGTGGATATAAGGGCTGTAACCAGGTTCTGAACTAGGCAGTACTACTACTACTTTGGTTTTTTTTTTTTTTTTTTAAATGAAAGGAAAGCCACATTATGTGATATGAACTCTGCCTGGCCTTGAATCCTGTCCTTCCCTGTCAATAGTGTAGTAGTAGATTAACTTCTCATTGCGTTGATACCTTCTCTCTGTAAAGAGGGGATAACAAAGTGTTGTGAGGAGTAAATAAATTAAAGGACAGAAAATGTTAACAGTGCTTGTACACATAGTAAAATTTAAACAAATCTTAATATTTTAAAAGTCATCCTTCAAATGTATTGTTAAAGACAGATTTGAGAGATGTTTCTAAGTTAGAATTTACAGGTTTGGTGCATGTTTAGATACAGAGCAAAGAAAATATGTAAAACTTCAAAGCAAGAGTCATTCACAATAGAGGTAACATGTAAGTTGTGAAAGTAATTTAAGGACGTGAGGAAGGTAGGAAGTGAGGAATTAAGGACTGATTTTGAGGAGGCACACACAGGAGAGTGAGTACAGCAAGTAAAAAGGAATGGAAAAAGCAGAAGAGTCCATTCTCTGAAGTTTAATAGGATCCAGAATGCTATAGTGTGTGTGTGAAGTGGGTAAATTAGCAGGATGGGTGATAATGTTTAACACTGTCAGATGCTGCAGAGATCTGAACACAGTTGTGTTGATAATAGTGCATTCAACAAGCAGGAATTAATGTGGAATCTCTTGTGGGCCAGATACCGGAGATGTAGGAAAAAATTAACCTCTATACTCAAACAGCAGGACACCTATAAGGGAAAGACATGGAAATAGTTTAGTGAGTGCAGCAAAAAGAATTAGGAATTAGGATGGCATTTCTTAGACTTTATTGGTACCTTTAGTTAAAAAACTAAAATTGATTTACAGTTCATAAATGTGGGCAGTTTAATTGAATTCCTTTTTTTTCTTTTCTAGACAATGGCCAAGAACAAACTAAGAGGACCTAAGTCCAGGAATGTATTTCACATAGCCAGCCAGAAAAACTTTAAGGCTAAAAACAAAGCAAAACCAGTTATGACTAATCTGAAGAAGGTAAGTTTTAATTAAGCATTTGACTTTGTTTACAAGTAAAGTACAGTTGTAATAAAGTTACTGAAAAACTGAATGCTATTATTTAAAACAGGTTCTTAGCTTTTTCTACAAAGATGGTTTTAAGATTTTTTTTTTTAATGTGAAGGAAAATAATCTCCCTTTGTTTCTTTTTTTTTAAGATTTATTTTAAAAATAAATTTTATTTTTATATTCCCCCATACAATTGCAATCCCCTTATTTTGACCCCAATCCCTCCCCTCCACACCCCCCACCGCCCATAGAGTGTCTCTGGTTCATAGTTGTTTGTTGATTTTGATATTTTCTTTCTTATAGTTATTCTTTTTCCTGTTCCCTTATTTAAGTTTTCTAGATTCCTGCTATGAGTGAGACCATCCGGTATTTTTCTTTTTCTTTCTGGCTTATTTCGCTGAGCATGATCCCTTCCAGTGCCATCCATGTTGCTGCAAATTGCATGTGTTTTATCTTTTTTGAATGCTGAGTAATATTCCATGGTGTATATGTACCCATTTTTTCTCCTCATTAATCCTTCTCTCTCTGAAGATGTCTACAACCCAAACAAAACCTATAAAATAATTCTTAAAATGCAAAATTTGAAAAGGAGCTAATCTTTTACTTAGAAGTATTTGGGAGATGGAGAATTACCACGATTTAAGTAGACTAAGAAAATTCAAGAAAATGGTTTCGCAATTTAGACGTAGTCAACTCTGTAGGACTAATTGTCATAGTAGTCCATAGAAATATAACATTTTATCTTTCAGTATTCATGAACTAAGCTAGTAATGCAGAGGCAAAGAGGGAATAGTAAGTGCAAAGGCCCCAAGCTAGTGAAAAGCTCTTGAGGATTATTTCATTTGGTTATGAAGTACTAGATATATGTAGCTAATGGGGAACATCTAAGAAGGGGAGAAGGGGAATGGGTAGACCTCCTGGTTAGAAAGTAGTTTTCTCACAAAGGAACCTAACTTACTAAGTGGGGAGGGCATGGGAGGCCATGTGATTGCTTGGCATTATATAAATGTAAGTTGATAAAATGTAGTTTGTGCTCATGAACTGAACTCCAGCTTCAGTTTTAGGCTAGGAAAAAGCTGATAGTTTAAATAGGTTGTCAGTCAAGATTGATTAAAGGAAATAAGAGAAGCAAAGTTGAGTTAATGTACAGATTTAATTGTGTAAAATTTGGTAGGTGTCAGTAGTGAGGAAAAGGGTATCAGAAATGTCCTGATACAGAGTGCAAAGGAGCTGACAATTGAGGGGGGTGGAAATGGTTTGGGAAGAGAAGTGTTAAACAAGACTACTACCCTCTAGATTCTAGGACTGCAGAGAAAACTGTCCTTGAGACTGCCAGGGACTTCCATTAAGGCAAGACAATCTAGGAAGGATTCAGGAATGTGCCACTAGAAAGACATTTTTCATTTTACAGATGAGAGATCCATGTCCTGTATCTTAGATTGTGGTCACATATTTTCACCTGTTATGCTACTAAAGCCTAAGTATGAGAAACAACTACATTATTAAAAAAAAAAAAAAAACCTTCTAAAATTTCCCATCAATACTAAGGATTTTAGTGAGTTATCCCCCCAAATTGGTAGGATTCATCAAGCTTTTAGATATAACAAGGTTATTAAGACTATCTTCTTAAGGATCATGGAATTTTTTTTCTTTTTTTAAAGATAAACATTGTGAATGATGAAAAAGTTAATAGAGTGAATAAAGCTTTTGTAGATATACAAAAGGAACTTCTACATTTCTCAAAAGGCCTTTCTCTTGAACCTCTGCAGAAACAGCTGGTAAGTAGAAATCATTTCCTCTTGTATAGCTAGTAAATTGAAGGTAAACCGAAAAAATATATATGTTCAAAGCCTGTAAGTTGTGCTCTTTTAGTACTTAGCTTTGTAGTATGTATAGTATATTCAGACTCTGAAACACTGAATATGAATATTAGAATCTACTACCAAAGGTATGACTAGGAGAACTAAATTGGATATAAGATTATATACAAATCATTTTTCTTGTTATTGTCTAAATTTTTAAATGTTTTTCTCCCTTCAGACTCCTCAGCAGTGTCATGAAAATGAACCAGTTAATGTTGATGAAGCTACAAGATTAATGGCTCAGTTGTAATACACTGGTGATGCATCAAATTCCCAAGAAAAACCCAAACAAATAAATTAAATGTTTTATACAGTTTTATTTTTAAAAATCTTGTTAATGTACAGACATTGGCACATTTGAAAGACAAACTACATCAACAGGTCTTTCCTATAATCTAGGAAAGTGGAATGTCAGAAGTCAACAAAGTGTGATAAACTTAAAGTGCTAAAACAGAAGGCACTTCACAAAATCTGTTCACTGAAACAGTTAACATCCTAGTTTACATCCTTCACTTTATAAGTGGCAGTGAGTGTCTGTATAGACAGGAGGACACACAGAAATATGAACAATTTTGTGGCAGTAGAAATAAAAGAAAAACAAGTGATGAGCCCTTGGCCAACTATTTGTGTTTGATGGCCTTAACTCTACAATTTCCCTCTTAAAAGCTAAAAAAGGAGGATTCAGAAATAAGAGGAAATATTGAAATCTTAGAAGGTAATTACTTAGGGGAGGGGTTTGAGGATATTAAATCACTTTTACCCCTGAAGTAATCAGAGCCCTTTGTTTTTATATTGAAGTTTTGTGAAGTGGAAAAGTAGTATTAGGGAGGAATACTTCAGAATCAGTGAACTAAAAAGGTGTTACATTCATTTTAAATACTTAGGTTATTAAGAATGCTAAAATGTTACACAGTTAGAGGTAGATAACAGTCCCAAGTTTCCATGGAATCTAATAATTTAGTATCTGGACATCAAACAGATCACAGACTCCTTCATTATCATCTAAATTAAAGTTGTAGTCATCTGCTGGGGTAGGAGAAAGCCGTAAGAGAGGAAACACTGCAAGCAAAACACAAAATCAGTGTGTTAAAGATGTTTTTTTCATATGGATAATGATATTTAACATAAAATACTCTCAAATACATTTTCAACTAAATTACGCTTCCCTTGTCATGCAGAACTTTAAAATATATTAACAGGAAAAGTAATGATCGACTTAATGATTTGTATTTCATATGTACTTTGGAAGATTGTCATTTAAAGACAATTTATGTGCTGGTTATAGTAGTATACTTGAGAAACAGAGGTTAAATTTTTTATTAGTGTCACTAAAATGATTCAAAAACATTGGTCAAAGTATTTTCTGATTTGCTAAATAAGCTGCAATTTTGAAACAAAGTATGAACTAGACTTTATAATAAATTTACTGCTGTTTAATAAATTTAAGTGGTTTATATACCATTAGCTAGTTTGTCAACTGCCATTGCCTAGATCTCACCTTTATTTGTTAGGAACCAAGACAGAAACTATTAAAGTAATTATAATAAAGGCAGCTGATTTTTACTAGATGACATGACTAATGTAATTAACAGTTCAGCTTAAAATTGGCATGGGGATATTTACAACACTGGGTTTTCATAATACCTGTTCACTTAGATATATTTTGCTCTTTTTGGCCAAATTCTTAGAAAGTGAAAAGGGCTAGTGTGCAACAGGTTAGAAGCTTACTCAGTAAAGGTGATAAGTACCCCTTTTGTATTCTTTTCCCTCAAAATGCAAGCCAGAAAAAAAAAAAAAAATTTGAAGGTTGGAAGTATTGTTAAATGACACTTTACCTGAATCAACAGTTATTAAAAAGTTAAAAAATGTTAGGTTCTTCATTTCTTTTAAATCATGTGCCGCTGGGCCTCCCTAGTGGCACAAGGGGTTAAGACACAATCTAGAAGCCATCTGTAGCCAATGCAGCACGAGTTCGATACCCGGGCAGGGAGATGCCATGGCGCAGCAGACCTCTCCTGACTGGCCCACTGCTCCCCTCAGCAGTGTATTTCAGTCAATCTGCCTGTTCTGTTCCCCACTCTGTCTCTGGAGAATCCTCTCACCCGCGCCCACCTCTGGCCTGTACCCCACTTCTTGTATACATAAACAAATCTTTAAAAAAAAAATCATGTGCCATTTACAAACTCTAGGAAAGTAGTATTGATATGTAAGGTGCTAGCTAACATTTTAAAAATACTTACCATCAGAAGACATTAACTCGTCAATGATATCTGCACTAATAGATCCTACTGGAAACAAATGTGATAGTTCTGTTACATTCTGTTTGTATTTTTAGCAGTAAAAGGCAATGTTATATTTAAGCATGTTATATTTAAACACAACATAGATCTAACAGCATTTTACCATATTCATAAAACATTTCAATTTTAGCAGCTTGATAAGCAGTACAAAATTAAAGTACTTCATGGAATAGTATCATTTTCATGAGTATGTAACTGCCAGGTTTAACTTCTAAACTTCCAAATTCCAAGATGTAGCTAAATTACACAGCTCGCTTAAGACATATTACTGTATTGTACAGTATCATACAATATTATAAACTGGCATGTACAATATAGCTTTTAGTTATGTGCAATACAACATTTAGGTCGGCATGACTAAATTGTTCATTCAGCCATGAATCTGATTTAGCACTTAAGGAATCACTAAAAAGTAGCAAAATACCACTATGTAACCAGGGGGAAAAGATTGGGTGCCAAAAATATTTTTATAAATTTAGGAGATATGGTCCCTGCTCCTGAAGCTAGTTTTAGTTATCATTTCACGGATGAAACTAGCAAGGCAATGATTCCTAATTAATTGGAGTTGAAACCATTAAAATTATAAAAATAAGTTTCCCAAATAAAAAGTACAACATGGAAAAACAAGGGTATAAGTCACTATATTCTAGGCTAGTTTGATTTTTCTTACAGAAAAATCCCATTAAATCTGACCCATTAAATCTTTCCTTTGCTCAATTTTCATATTTCATTACAATCTTAAACATATTATACCTAGCAATGCATGTACATACACACAAGATAACTGCACATATACATTGCCTATGAAATCTATAATGTAGTCAAGGACAGGATCTTTTCCCACAGGAGACACTAAACTAATACTTGCTGATAAATTAAACCTATTGTTATACCTCCTATATTAGAAAATGGAACGTTACAACTGAAATTCAGAAAAACTTTATTGTTTAATACCGTATTCATATTTCTCACTCTACTTTTTAAAACAAAGGCTCTGAACCCACCTGAAGATAAGTCTGTGGCTGGTGTCTGCTGAAGATTCTGGCTTTTCTCAGAGACATGTTGCTCAGGCAGATTCTGAGTTGCCATGTTGGATTTCTGTGGAGTTACTGGAGTTGAGGGTTCAGGGGAAGGCTGTGTGAGGTCATCAGGTGGAGGAACAGGAAAAACAACGGGCTTAGAAGAACCAGACTCTTTATTTATTAGTAGCACGTGGATAGGACCTGAATGACTCTTTAGATTGATCTGGTATTTCTTCTGTCCATTCTGACCCTTTAAAGTTATTGGGTATAAACAAATGGAATAAATATTAACATTTCTAGCTACTCTGAAACGTTAAAAATAAGACAGGCAAACTGTTAGGGACCAACTCAATTCACACAACAAAATAAAGTCATTAAGTCAAAACAGTGGAGATTAAAAGTAGGACACGGGGCGTCCCCAGTGGCGTAGAGGTTGAGCGCTGGGTTGCGAAGCTGGCCGCAGCCTCTGCAGCACCGGTTCCATCCCCGGCCGCCAGAGGAGGGTCCCGCATGGCACGCAGACCTCTCCTGCCGCCCGCTGCTCCCCTCAGCAGTGTACTTTGGTCCTTCTGCCTGCTCTGCTCCCGGCTCTGGCTCTGGTGGATTCTCTTACCCTCCCGCGCTTCTGACTGTACCCAGTGCTCGTATAAATAATAAATAAATATATTTTTAAATAAATAAATAAAAGTAGGAAAGGATATTGAAGCCTCTAAGCTACTTGCCTCTAAAGGTAAGCTTTTCTCAGAAACTCTCAACTGCAGTTACCTGGCAACCATCCACTTTACTGTCATTGTACATGTCAGTGTTCCAAGCCTTCTTGGTATATTTGGACTCCATCTTCTGCATTGGCCCCCATGAAATTGGTGCCATCAATGACAACTATTTCACAAGTCACAACTTTTTTCCCATTTAGAAACACAAGGAAAACTGACTTCCTACAGAGATAAAATCCCTCCACCTCAAAAAGGTAAATATGCATCCTGAGTCATTAGAATCCAGTAATATGAATGTGTAAGCACAAACTTCTAGAATAGTAAAAGGGGATCAACAGTGGTAGAGAAATGATAATCTTTCTACTCCCTTTTCTGATTTTTATAATTTCCACATCAGTTTGTTTTAGGAAATCAAAATCTGAAAACCAAAATCATGAAACATAAGTACACAGCGTAGTCAACAAATGTCTTTGATTTAATAAACTAGAAAAAATTTTTTCAAAGACCCAATTTAACATAATTCCTTATTTAAACTGAACTTCTTTAGAACTTTTAGATCAGTTATAGTCACTCTGACTTTTTTCCCCAAGATTATGTCATTATAGTAATTCTTTGATATATTGTAGCTCAAAATCAAATTAAAAAACCATCAAAATGTAAAATGATTCAGTCACTTGTATTTTATTGAAGTACTGAAGACATCGAAATTCAGGTGTCAATGCTTTCAAATAGGTAAACTATGGTGTTTATATACAGTTAGCTCATGTTCCTCTAAAGAAAACACATTTGTCCCTCTTGAGAATAGATCCATTTTAACAAAAGTTATCTTACATACCATTTCTGGAATAGGTACCTCCAGCTGTGTACCAGAAGGTGCTTGAATGGCTAAAAGTGTATCACCTGGTCAAAAAAATAAACAATTTGAAATGCTATTAACCATGGACTACATTGGTGAACTAGGTTCAGAACTGTTGGGTCTGAATCCCAGACTTTCGTGACTGTGGACTTTAGTTCCTAATGCTGTAAATGGAGGAACTCTACCTTAATGCATAGGTTGAATATTATATGACGTAATACATGTACAGGTAAATACTCAATGTCAGCTCTATTATTTTCATAATAATAACATTCAAATTAATTTAACTTTCACTCAGTCTTCTGTAAAGTCAGATATTTTTTAACTTTTTTATTGCTGTAACATTGGTTCACAACACTGTGATTTAGGGGTACAGGTTCATACCTCCTCAGATAGCTGAGTTTCTGAAAACATTTTAATCTCAATAAAATAACACTTTACTTGAAATATGTAAGCTACTTAAATTATTGAAGAGCCTAGAGATTAGGTATGCAAGAATGAACTCTTAAGCTTGCTTTTGAAGCCAAATTTTAAGCAGTCTCTATTGTGTTAAAGATTAAGAATACGTTCCCCAAACTTTCTTAGAATGCTCAGGAGATACAGTGCAAAGTAGAGTCAGACATACTGCCAACACAATCTTAGATGTAGATTCAGATTCCACTTGGCAAGGTGCTTGGCTGGTGTTTCTTTTTTGTATGTGCATAATACACAAGTCTGTCCTTTTAACAGGTTGTACATAATTAAATATAAATGTGTACACAAAATTTTATTTTAATTGTGTTATATAACTACAGGATAGAAGCATCTATTTCCCCCCCCCATTTTATTGTTAAGATACTATACTGTCATTGCAAGGGGGGGGGAATGGAAGCAGGGGTAGATTAGGATTAATTTCCCTGGTTATGAAATCTTTTTACCTATTCTGTCTACATGCTTTCTTTGGGTTCTGTTTGTATATACAGCACATTTACCGCAGAGAGTTTTATAAACAATGCCAATGAGAACTTGTTATAGTTCAAGTTCAGTTAACTGTAATTCTGTAACTCTGAAACTGGTCTTTAATTTCTCTCTGACTTAGATGTCCCTCCCACATACAGTTCATACTAACCCATGCATCAATAAAGTAAAAACTGTGAAAAGCAGTTGTCATGAGAACAGAAACAAAAGCCCATCAATACACAGCATGGTAGAGTGAAACAAAACACCCACAACTTCTGAAAATAATGACTTATTCAGAGGAAAAGTGTAAGAAAAATTTACTAACTTTACTTACCATTAAAGCAATTACAGATGTCTTCATGGGTTACATAGGAAAATGTACTGTCACAGGAGTTAAGGAACAACATTTATATCAAAGTAAATTAATTTTACATTAAATTAAAAAATAAATCTTAAGGTCAAAATAAACAAAATAACTGGAGGCATAAAGGGTCTGCCATACATGATCTGGTAAAAAAGGACAGAAGTCTTTAGTCTGAAAAGGCAAAGACTATCAAATAAAGGTCCATAAGAGGGATGTCAATTCTTGGCTCTGAGAAGCAGCTATTTTTGATTTCTTGGACACCTAAGGACCCTTGGGAGAGATGGGACATATTCTTTGTGGGGACAGGATTCTAGGGGATGGATATGAATGGGGGAAAGGATGCTACTGCAGCAGTGGAGAGAAACAATATAAGCTTCCACATTGAAAATCTTCTTGGGTTGTTGTTGAGGAATTGGGAGCAGTTTGAATCCTACAAAGCAGTGTAGCAGTGTCTCAGACAACTAGCAATGTTTTTTGACTCTTGGGGCACCAAAAGGCACAGTTTGAAATCCCCCATTGTTAGCAAATTGTTAAGGACTCCTTAGTTACAGAAAAGAAGTAACAAATAATACCATGGACTTGCTCACTAAGACAAAACAACATGAAAAATAAATTATACACATTAGTCAAAAGTTCATGAGATCATACAGGATGCATGAAGTAAAAATGTTCAGTAAGAATACAGGTAAGTTCACAAATAAGAGAATCACAGATACCTAAGAGGAGAACAGTGATTTTTAGGAAACATATGGAGTATCACTAATGTTTTTACCCCAATATATTATATGGATGCCAAGACTGAAAGACTACCCTCTAGTAGGTAGTATCTTAAAGTATCCCGGATTGACTGCAGGCCCAATTGTATTTCCTTTTCAACCCCAAATTTGTTTTTCTCAAAGCAACATATGAATAATATTAATAGTTGTACTATGTAATCTAAAAAGGTAAAAAAAATTAAATATTAGTATAAATTAAAATATTACATTCACTTGCAAAACTTAACCCCAAAAACTCTAGTATGAAGTTAGTGATCTTCAAACTAGAAGAATGTATAGAAATACATTTTCTATAGCTATATATACATACAAAACTTATTTTAAAGGATATCTATTATTAATGGAGTCATCCATCACATTTTTGATGCTTTGCTGTAGCCACAACTTCTGCTGATCAAGTTCTCTTTCCTTCAATTCTAGATCTTCAATTTCAGCTTTAAGATATTTTAATCTATCTATGACTTCTTTTGTATTACAGCCAGCACCTACACCTCTTAAAAACATAGGAAAATATACCAGTATCAAACTCAACATCACTTTTTTTATTTTAATAAAGTAAATTAACAATATATTCAAAATAAAAATCTTTACATTCTTCTAAAAAATTAAACATGATAATTGTTAGAAAATTTAAACACAATGCCTCTGAACATGTTTGCTTAAAAGTTAATTAACAAGAATAATCAAATTACAAAAATTCTCAAAATGTCATAGAATGGTTTTTGTTATTGGATGGCCAAACATGTGACTAAGGCACTAAAATGATGTTAAAGCTAAATTGTCATACCCAGAAGTCTCATAATGTAGAATGAGACACTGGCAAAATAAATCAAACCGTTCACTATTTTGGCTAAAAAAAAAAAAAACCACAACTATGGCAGAACATTCCAACATACAACCAGTCAACAGTTCACAAATGACAACATGCATTTCAATAAACATTATTTATTTTTTAAAAGATTTATTTTATTTATTTATGCATAAAAGAACTGGGGTATAGGCCAAAGGTGTAAGGGGTGAGAGGATTCATCAGAGACAGAGTGGGAAGCAGAAGAGGCAGATCTACTGGAATACATGGGTGAGGGGAGCAGTGGGCAAGACAGGAGAGGTCTGCTGCGCCACTGTGGGTCACCTCCCTGGCAGGGGATCAAACTTATGCCACAGTGGCTGCTGATAGTTTGATAGTGCTGGGGTATTTAACCCCTGTGCCATCAGGGAGGCCCCTAAATATTATTTATAAGGTACATATTCCTATATATAAAAGACAGCTCATGTTCTTGAGTTTATATTGCAACAATATACTGTAATAAAAGTTATATGAATGTGGTCATTCTCTCTCAAAATATCTTATTGCAGGCCATAACTAACTGCAGATAACTGATTAAGTGAACCCACAGATAAAGAAGGACTACTGTACAGAGGCTCAAAGAAGGTGTATGGGGAAAAATGAGGGGCGAGGTATGAGTAGGTCAAAGGACTGAAGTAGAGGACATAGGAGAGATGATAGAAAGATCAGATTTTATAGAGCATGAAGAAGAAAAATGAAAGTTTTAGAATAGGGTACTGGCTTGTAACTTACTTCCACTGGATACTATTTTTTGACTTTTTTTCAATCAGGTCAATTCCTTCCAAGACATTAGTGATATCATAAATTCTTCTTTTTTGCCTTACAGCCAAGGTGTCTGCTGCCTGTTTTTAAAAAGGGGGGAAGAAGGAAAAAAAAAAAAAAGGGGGGGGGAAGAACAATGAAATAAAGGACAATTCTTATTTTAAAACCAAAAATGGTTGATTATTAAGTTGACAGCTTGAGAGACTAGTTCCAAATTTGATCTAGTCAGAGGCTTAGGAACAATAACTGGGTATGTTGACAGCATCTTTCAAACATTACAAATACCAAAGAAATTATCCCATTTAAAAGCTAGCAGATGTTGCAATTGGGTGGGGGGATAAAAAGGTCATGACACAAAGCCCACAAAATTGAAAGAACACAGTAAGATTACTTCATGTCACCTCCTCAGGCAAGCTACTAATTATCTACTTATGTCACTTCCTATCTTATTTCTGTTGATAAAACAGTCTCTTCTAAAGATAGCCTTAAACCTTTTTGAACCCTTGAAAAGTTATGTTTCAGATTTTTTTTTTTATGAAGTCAAGATCCTGGGGAAGAAATTCTGATTTGCACACATGCTTGTATTACCTTGCAATACACAATCTTCCTTTTTTATAAACTCACAAGAAAATGGCATTAGAAATCTTAAGTGAAATGTCAGTTCTAGCTATACATTTGTTGTGCTACCAAAAATGCCAATTTACTATTAACCAGTCAGGAAAGAGTGTGAGAAAGATGACAATCTTAAATACTGCTAAGCACGTCATCCCATGATACCCCTATGGCAGCTGAGTAAGTGTGCATGCGTGTGCATCAAATTTACTTTAAAAGGTTACATTTTGGGCCTCCCTGGTGGCGCAGCAGTTGAGCGCTGGGTTGCGAAGCTGCCCACAGCCTCTGCAGCACCGGTTCGATCCCCGGCCACCTGGCGAGGGTCCCACGTGGCACGCAGACCTCTCCTGCCGCCCTCTGCTCCCCTCAGCAGCGTACTTAGTCAGTCTGCTCCCTGGCCACCAGAGAAGGGTCCCACATGGCCGCAGACCTCTCCTGCCACCCGGTGCTCCCCTCAGCAGTGTGTTATGTCAGTCTGCCTGCTCTGCTCCCCGCTCTGGCTCTGGTGAATTCTCTCACCCTCCCGCGCTTCTGACTGTACCCAGTGCTTGCATAAATAAATAAATAAATAAAATAAAAAATAAATCTTTAAAAATAAAAAAAGGTTACATTTTGCTATTATAGAATTTGACCTATTCAGCCATAAAGGAAGCACCTAATTGTACTCCACCAATTCAACCTTTCAGGAAGCAAATGAACATAACCCTCTGAAAGAAATAACTCCCCTCAAATATTGAATCATTTTCTAAAAAGTCACTAATTATAAACAATGATATCTGTATGTGGAGCAAAATTAAAATTTACAATGCTTTTAAGAGATGAACAAAGAATCCAGGAGATCTGATAGAGATCACATATAAGTGCTAAAAATCACATCAAGTATTTTCTGGTTCTACCTGTTCTATTCCCTGTAACAAATGAGTCCACTAGGACCCAATGTTAACTCTGGGAGGGAAAGAGATTATGTGGTAACTTTGAGTCAGGATTAGTTGTGGCTAATTTGCTCAAGCATGTTCTTTTGTTGGCGCATGGATGCTGCATTCAAAAGGACTAACAAAAAACAATAACTATGGGAAACATCCTGTCTTTCAGGTTCTCCATCTGCAAAGCAGATACTTTACTCTTTTCCAGGACCACAACTGTCAATACTTGTGCATTCCATGTTTTAGAATACACTGTGCTTCAGAAACTAACAATACAATGAGGAGAGCCAGAATTCCAAAAGTCACAAGTGTATAAAGGAAACACTATATGAAATCAGTTCATTTTTAACATAGGTACACAAATGCACAAGTGATGAGATCTTAGAAAAAAAGGTAGCAGAGCCTGACTTGATGTATTAGGACAGTCTACTAAACATATTAGAGTTTAAAAAAGTTAACTCACATTCAAGTGTGCCACATGATATTTTATGTTGATCTATCTCAAGATAGGGCTTAAGCTGATTATTAGTTAATTCCAAACACTATTAAGATAATTTATATGTAGAATGTTTGATTTCAATTCAGTTAAGAAGAACCATTAAAAGCCAGTAATGAGGTAACTGTCATGGGATCTTTTGCAGATATTACCTAATTCAATGCTTGGAACCACTTTATAAAGTATGGTATCTCTTCCCTGCTTTATACAAAACAGATTCAGAAAGCAGATGAATAATCAGAAGGAATTTGGCATTAATTACATATTAATGAAATAAATTTGTGGCAAGGTATTTTCAAATTGGCTTCCTTAACTTTAAAAGACTTGGAGAAAAATGCCACTTTTCTAGAGGTGGTTTCACTGAGAGTGCATGAAATGCCATCTAAAGCAGAAAGACCTTCGTTTCCACCTATTCCAAAATAATGAGCAGTAACAAAAATTGTATACAGAGCTAAGGTTTTGGGATTGTGGCTCATACCTTGTAGAATGAAGTTTTTAAAAATGAAACAGTCCCATAAAGTAGTTGAAAGAAGTTGAAAAACAGGGGCCTACCCTGGTGGTGCAGGCAGTTGAGCGCAGCACTGTGAAGCTGTCCGCAGCCTCTGCAGTGCTGGTTCGATCCCAGCCAGCTGGCAAGATTCCCACATGGCGTGATAGACCTCTCCTGTCTCACCAGCTGCTCCCCTCAGCTGTGTATTTCAGTTGACCTGCCTGTTCTGTTCCCGGCTCTGTCTCTGGTGAATCCTTTCACCCTCCCGCACATCTGGCCTATGCCCTGGTTCTTGTATGCATGAATAAAAAACAAATCTTTAAAAAAAAAAAAAAAAAAGGCTGAAAAACAGAGATTACTTAAGATGGGGGCAAAAAAAAAAGGTTCCTGGAGGAGGCCAAGGTATGCTTTCAATGGGTCTCAGGGGGTATTAAGTCAATAGGAAATTAAATACCAAAGAACAAATAACTTACTTTAAGAATACAAAGGAAGGGGGTAGGGGGAAGCAAATAATGTTTAAAAATTAACAATCATGTAAAAAATAAAAAAAAAATTAAAAAAGAATACAAAGGAATTCCTTCAAAATGAGGTCTAAGTATTTTAATTCCTGATCATTACCTGCCCCAAAAGAATCTCTCCAACAAAAATCTCCAGTGGTTTCACTGTCCCAAACTGCTACTGCATTCAACCTTTTTTAATCCATAAGCTTTACATTTGATCTAACTTATTTTTACTTTTTAATAATCACCACATAAGCTTTGAAAAAGAAACTTCATTTTCACTTAAGTTACCAAATACTACTCAAAAGGAAAAATGAAGATATGTATTTTAGCAGTTTACCTTTAAAATTGTAATAACATTTATAAAAAGAAAATGTGTAAAACCAGAACTCCTAGCTAAAATATCTGGACACTTTACTAATACAACATCTGTTAACTCAGGGACTCAACTAGAAACTCATTCTTCCTCCCCTTAAGTAGATTCTTTCCCAAATGCCTACTTGGTTTTCACTTCTTAAGACTCTTCCCCAACAGCTGAGGCATCTGCAGCATCTCATTCATTTGAACTCCATCTCATTCACTGCTCAGATCAGACCCCTGAACACAAATGATAGATTCAGCTAAAGTTGTTCTGATCTTCCTCTTTTTAAAAATTAAAACCAACATTTCAAAATCTTGTAATTTTCATATTTTCCCTAAAAAGAGTATAATGAGATTTTACTGTAAAAATAGATTTCAATTTATCCCATTTTAGAAATAACTCTCAAAGCTGACTTATTTCCACTCAAAATTAGGTTCCTCACCCAGTAATGTAGATTTTAAACTCATAATCTGAGGCAATGCAAAGACTTGAGCAGAGGTCTATTCCAGAGACTATAAAACAGGAATATTTTCCAATCCCTAACTTCTAACATTTTCCGAAGAGTAGCTTGTTTGTCAATCCTAGCTCCTCAAAGGTCAATTCTAGCCAACATTAACTCCTACTACTACCAGAGCAGTTATATCTGATCGTGAATAAAACTGGAAACTGAAAGGCAGAACTCACTACATGGTTATCAAGGTCAACAGGCATCAAAAACCACCTATTTAAAAGGTAGATTACAGGTAATTCCCTGGCCTTAGAGAACCCGATTTCTCAGTTCCTGTTTTAACAAATACCCAGATTTTGAAGCATTTTATCTTTTATATACACATTGAGAAATACCGTCATAATCTTTCAGGCCACTGCCTTTATTGAAATGTGGGGGTTACAGCTTAAAATAAAATTTGCCTGGCACTTTGTAGTTGACAAAACATCACCAGTTATGGTGTCTCATCCTTTCTTCCAACCTGGAGCAACTATATTCAATTTGCACATTCATTTTAATGACAAGATATACAGAACACAGACACAGGGGTTGCCCAAAGATGCATTACTGGGAAGTGGCATAATCAAAACCAAGAATTCAGAACTACTGTCTTAGCTATAAATCCATTATTCTGTCCAAAATTGGAAAATGAGATGCTGGCTTCTTTGTCTTGGTTTGTTTGTTTGTTTGTTTGTTTTTGTTTTTATTCTCCCATAAAGTGCTTTTCAAATTATACCAAAACCTTGGAAGTAGTTTGCTTAATATGAACATGGTGGTTCAGGGCATCAATATCAGACTCTCTGGGTTCATATTTCATTTCCTGCCTAAATCACTTAATATCAGTTATCCTCAATTTCCTAATCAGCAAAATGGAGATACAGCTCTCATTTAGAGTTTTGTTACAAGGATTTAAATGCTAACATAAGTAAACCATTTGATACAGTACTATCAGTAGTAATCATTCTGATTAGTGTTGAAGAGCTTAAGTTTCCTGAGAATTTTGTTTTTCTAGTTAGGCAAGCATCATGTATTTAGTAGTTGTTTAGTAATTAGACTCTAGAGTAGATGTATCAAACAGCTTTATATATGTATTTTTAATAGACTTTATATTTTTAGGGCAGTTTTAGATTCCCTGCAAAATGCAGTTACCATGTGCTCTGTACCCCCACACATGCATAGCCTCTTCCTCTATCAACAAAGCTCACCAGAGT